CTTACAACATCGGAGTGTGCTTTCACTTGTACAGTTCATGTTGGATCACAATAAAATCGCCTTTTTCTAAGTCACAGGTAACTAAAACTGTCTAGGGAGCTGCAAAGCAGCAAACCACTTCTATTCCCAAGCAATTTACAATAGAGCTCTTCACACATACCACCAATATCTCTATCCTCTTAAAATTTCATATTCTGAACTTTCTTTTCTATCAGTAAACAGTTCAAGAAACTTTAACTCTAGATTGGCTCACAAAGAAGCCTGGTAGCTACTGAAGCCCCAGATGGCTTACATAATTTTAGGCAGTACTGAAACTCTGCTGCCCATGCCACAAGTTATAAGACGAGTAAATAAAAGCAAACAAAAGTAAATCAAAGCAAGGAGGTATTCCACCATGACCACCCCTCAAGTGCTTGGAAATTATTTCCATCTTTTAATCTCTTCTCATGTCAGTGCCCCAAAATGACCTGAAGTAGGTCCGAAAGGCCACAAATAGTGAAGGCATTTATTTCACCCAATAGTACTATCAAATGACTCAAGAGAAGAGTCAAATGGCAGAGATGGTAGATCTCCAGAATGTACTTTCCAGTGAGGAATCAGGCTGTTTTCCTTTTATTGACAAAAGCAGCAGCTGATACCACAAACAAAAAAAGAGGGAAATCACTGTGTGCAAAAGAGTGTCCTGGTGAGTACTAGAATGTCCCTGGTCACTGGATCATGGGTTCTGCTAGCCATCAGCAATCACTCACTATTCCTAAGCGCCTGCCAGGATGCATGGATCTCAGGAAGTGGCACTTTCCTTCTGGCTCACAAATCTGTTACTGGCCAGATTTATTTGCTTTCCATTAACCAAATCAAAAGAAGTAATACATTTTTGATAAAAAGAAAAAAAAAGAAACTAAGTCAAAGCTAGCTCTAAAGAGATAGAGGTATCCATTTATTTCAAATCATCATCTCCCCTTAAACAGTTGTGTTAGTATCCTTCAAGGTAAGGAATAGAGGGAAGGGGAAGACAGAGACAGTGCAGATCTTCACACCTGGTTTATCGCTGCCAGCCATCTTCAGTTCACTGACCCCTTTCCTGTGGAAAGGAAACTGCCGTCCAGGCCTTATGATCTTAGCGTTTGCATATTTTGTCACTTCTTTTGGACTAAAGAGAGGAGGGAGTAGAGGAAAATGGTTTATTTCTAAAAAAAAAGAAAATATCTAACTTTTAAAGTTTTATTTTGCCTTCCAGCTACAAGGGGATCGAACTCAAGACCTTTGCACTGAGTTACACACTTAGTCCTTTTAAAAAATGTGTTGAGACAGGATTTCCCCAAGTTATCAAACTGTCCAGACTGAGGTTGAACTTGAACTCCTTCTGCTTCAACTTCCCAAAATGCTGGGATTGCAGAGATGCACCTATACCTTGCTTTTAGCCAATCTCCAAAATAGTCAAATTGTGGCTATAGCATGCAGCCTAACAAGCCGCAACTTAAAATGTAGAGTGGCTTGAGCCTCACAACTTCCTGAAACCACATGAAATTTGTACATACTGCCCAGTTCAAGCTTTCCACAATAGCACTCTCACATTTTTACTGATTCGTGACAGTTAAGAAAAACCATCTGCTTTCTATCACATTATTTAGCTTTTATGTAGCATGAGGACATGGAGAATTCACTGTGTAATCGGTAACCAGTACACTTATCTACCACAAGTAGTCAAGAAGACAATAAAATGTCTTTATGCAGAATAGAAAACTCATTTGAAATTGTAAGACAGATGAATCTTTTTAAATTTATTAAGTAGTATATCTAAAATTCTCTGCCCAAAACTTTGGGGAGATATGGTGGCACACCAGCTTGTATCTTTTAGATAAAGAGAAAAAGTGAAAAACTCTGTGAACTTCATACTTTAGATGTACATCCTTGTTTCAAAGTCAAGGGGATTTTTGAGGTAGTATGTAAAATTTGAAAAAGAGAACAAAAGAGCAGATGAGGTCTTTCTGCATAATGAATAAAGTAGCAGTCAGTGAGTCTTAGTTTCTTGTGCTCGTTCCCATTTTTGGTTTAAGAAGGACATGCATATCTGACTTTAATTGTCTGTCTTACATCCATGAGTTGTTAAAATAGATAAGGCAGGAAATAGTGATTTAAATTAGAAACATTTGCAAGAAGCTGCACTAAAGAATTGGTATTTTTATAGAAGCACTTTCCATTTTTTTCTCATTGCCTACAACACAGAAAACTCTCAAATTATATAATTTCCCATAATTATCTAAGTGAGCGTCATTACCTTTACTGGAAAACCATATCATCTGCACATCCATAAAAGATTGTCACAGAGTTGAATTCAGGCTACATGAATAATGGTTCACAGATCATAGTGCTGAGTATTAGCTTAGTCTATATTTTTATAGGCTCTAAAGTTGAAGGTCACATATCTTCCTCTAGGTATGTCAAGTAGAGCATAGTTTTACCAGACAGAATGAAGGTAACTGAGTTCATTGGTAATTAAAGTCAAAGTCTCTGCCAGTGGACTCAATTTACCACATAATGTTATGTATAAGATCATTTTATGGAAAGCAAGGTAAATGTTTTAGTGAATATCATTTGGATCATATGCTGACTGTCCAAATTAAATATTACATTTCAAAATGTTATGCTGGGGCTGGGGATGTAGCTCAGTGGTGTGAATGCCTACCAGGCAAGCATAAGGTCCTGAGTTTAATTCCCGGGACAAAAAAAAAAAATCTCAAAATGTTATGCTAACTGTTAAAAGAACTCGCAAGAGGGCAATATTTGAGCTGGAGATTTAGCTCAGTGGCATAAGCACCTGCCTGGAAAGTGCTAGGTAGTGAGTTCAATCCCCGGTACCAAAAAAAAAAAGGCAATATTTGGTAAATCATTAAATAGCACTCTCACATTTTTACTGATCCCTGACAGTTAAGAAATATAATGACATGTTATAGTTATTTTAAACTATTTTTATATATAGTTTATTTTTAACTATTTTTATTGGGGACATTTTCAAACAAAGCCACGCCACATGATTAATTTTCATGTTCCCATCACTCTTGTTCAATAGTCATCTACTCATGACTAACTTGGTAGCACATTTGCCTTTTTCCTGCACTAGAAGCAAACTCCAGGCATCATATGATTTCAAATGTTAACACTTGTACATATGCCTGAAAAGTGTTATTCACGTAATCAAAACACTTTTACATTAAGTTTAGACTGTAACATTTAGGTGTCAAAATAATAGCTAAAGAATGAAGAGAAAAATTTTTGGTATCATCAAATATCAACTACTTTTGCAATTTGCACATATGAAATATATTTCTTCAGTTGCCTCTTTAAATCAGGATCCAATAAGATTCATCTTGCAATTTGTAGTTGTATCTCTTCAAACTATTAATTTATCCATTCCCCGTTCTTTACGTGTTTTTCCCATTTCCATTCAATTGTTAAAGAAACCAAGTTGGAACATAGTCCAGACTATGTCATTGTATCCTCTGTTGTCAGTTGACATGTTTGAGGCATGTCTTAAAAAGTTACCCATATTTATTAAATAAGTAGTTGGGTCTAAAAGTTTCAATCAAATTGGGATTCTTTTTTCCCCCAGAGTACTTCACAAGTGTGATTGTGTTATCTTATTAAATGGACACAATGGCCAATATTGTATCTTTTTTGTTATGTGATAGTCACTAATGATCATTGCCTAGCTCCAGTAATTCATTAAGAGTTTCATGATTCCTTACTTCTACTATTTCTTTTTCATTTATTGGCTAGAATTCCTTTACTAAAAGGGATATCACTTCTACCAGCGGTACATATTTGATTGAAATCGAAAAGTAAATGGTTAATTTCTTTCTGTGTGTGCTAGTTTTCAACAGTGACAACTTGGCGTCTTTTAGCTTTAAAACTATTTTATGCTAAGGAACATTTTTATTAGTTAGAACTTTTTAAATCCCATATACTATATGAAGTAGTTGCTTTTGTATATTGCCAGTGTGTTCCAAATCAATAAAAGACCAGCAAAGAGAAAATACAGTATAGACACAGACCAGATATTAGAGATAGAGTTTTTGCTATTAAAACGTAGGTAAAAATCTGAGAAACTAAGCCTATTATAAGACTAAAAGCTTGCATGTATAGGCTTGAAAAAAGTAGAGAACTTCTTTTCCTAATAAAGATTGTGTAGCTTTTTAGAAACATTTGTTTGGGGCTCGGGAGATAGCTCAGTGGGGAAAGCACTTGCCTAACATACAGTGGGTCTGAGGTTCAATCCCCAGTAACGGCAAAAAGAAAAAAAAAAATCTTCATCTTGAAGATAAGTAAATGAAGAGAAGCTGTCAGCAAAGCAAGAACCCTGAATGCCCTGGTCTGATTCCACAGGGACCCCCACTTGCTCCTTAGCGTACTCTTGGTTTCTCATGACTCACTCAGAGTTTTCTTCTTTGGAGACACCCGGACTTATGGCTGCACACATTTCTAATGGATCATAGAAAAGAACATTAAGGAAACAACGCTGAAGTACAGCCTGATGGGGCTGTTGGCTTGCTGACTTCTTCAATGTCTTACCACTGTTAGTGGGATGAATCTCAACTCTGTAACTTCCATTTAAGAGCATTAGAGTCTATTCTACCTATTCTAACTGGTAGTCTGTCTGTTTCTTTTACCACCATCCCCATTAAAGTCTCTATAGTCTGGAAGGAAAGTAGCCAAATTCCTTACTTCTCTCTGATCATTCTTGAATTCATTATTCCATGTCTTGATTAAGCTGCTTCATTTCTTTAGTCCTGAAATTCCTGCCCATCAAATGCTAAATCTGATTTCCTCCCCCATATAGCACAATTGATATTCCTCTCTGTGATATGAGGAATAATGATCCCCTCCCCAAAGATATCCGTATCCCAATCTCTGGAACCAGTGAATATATTGGTTTTCTACCATTGCTGAGACAAAATACCTAATGCCCAAACCTGAAGGAAAGAAAGGTCTATTTAGCTCACAGTTTGTGAAACTTTCAGTCTGTAATCAGTTCGCTCCAAGACTGGGTGGCATGGCACAGGGGCAATACTCAAAGGTGGCAGAAGACAGCAAAACCTGAAAGATCAAAAAGGAGAATCGAAAGCCTCTTTTCCTCCCTTACACTGTATACAGACCATCAGTTCACACCATCTCAGTGCTCTCCTATTGCACAATGTAAGAATATTTTCAAAGTGGGGATCCTGGGTCTCTGCTGAGTCACTTAAACTTCTAAACATCTCAAGTTGACACAATGTATCAACCATTGCATTACCATGCATGGAAAGGGGAATTGAGATTGCAGATGAAATTAAGCTTGTAAATCAACAGACTGGAAAATGGAAAGATTATTCAGGATTATTCAAGTGGGCTTGACAAAAATCACAGAAGCAAAAAAGTAATTCAGAGTAATGTTGTGAGACTCAACCTACCATTTTTGGCTTTGAAGCTAAAGAAAGAGGACAATGAGCACAGAACAGCTTCTAGTAGGTGAAAAAATCAAGCAGATTCTCCCGTGTCAAGAGAAACAAACCTACTTATGGCTTGATTTGTAACCCAGTGAAATACATATTGACTTTTCCATAGAAGTGAAAGGAAATATACTTGTTGGTTTAAAGCACTGAGAGTACAGTAACTTGTTACAGCAGTCACAAGAACTAGCACACTATCTGTTTTACTCATGTAATTCTTTATGCCAGTATTGTATTTGTGCAGTTGGAGGCTCAATTCCAGACTTCCTCTGGATTCAAGTTTCTGCTCTGTGCTTTTAAGTCTGATGAAGTTAAGCAGCTAATGGAACTTTTGGAATCTTCCATTGCACACAGCCCTTCTCCTTCAAGGTATTTATCACAATTATAATCATATAATCAATTGAGTGCTTAATTAAGTGTCTGTTTTTCATCTGAAATAATGGTCTAAGGGAAAAAGCTATATCTATCTTGTCAATGACTTGTATTCCAAGCACAAAACCACTTTAAAACATTTGCCAATTGAACAGATTGAGCAAATTTACCACATTAGGTGTCATGTAGGCAATAAAACATCAATACAATCAGATTTTAAAAAGCTCATTCACTGACCCAATGTAATACAGAGATTTAAAGAACAATCTCTGAAGAGATTTCATAAGCTCCTTTTTCCAACACCCATTCTCCAAGCTATTTTTTTTTAATCTTTTTTTCCCTTTGTTGTTTAGAGGAGGACACATTTCCCTATCAGGTGTATCTAGGACTGTGGGTATGGATTACCAGGGCATCTCTGCCTTGGTAGGCTCTTCATGAGTTCAGAATCTGATACTTAAGAATAGTAGGCTTAAGAAAAACCCACTACCAGGAATCAGAATGGATTTATGGTAAATGCACACACACACACACACACACACACACACACACACACACACACACACAGATTGCAACTGGATACAAACTGGGGTCTCAGGAGAGCTATGCTAATGCCAAAGGCATACCTCCAGTACTCTGAAGACCTTCCACTATTTAAAGCTTTACCACCTCCCAGTGATGTCCATCTGGAGACCAACCCCTTAATATATGGAAATATATACAATTCACACTATAAGCCCAAGCAAAGAACCAATTTTCTTTTATTTAGCCAGGTTAAACATACTACAATTCTAAATATTGATAGTAAAGGGAAATTATAAATAATTTGAAGTTTTCTATTCAAAACCACATAAGCTCAAATTGGAAAGAAGAAAGACTGTATTAGCAAAGCAAATCATTTAATTTTGTCTCTAAGTTCATTTTCTTTCAAATTTACTTATTTTTTGTCTTTGAAGATGTTTAATATCAAATTTATCAGCTTTAATAACTTCAGGAGTTTAGTTACAATTTTTTCCATTTCCAGTTTATGAAGAAATTCACTTATTTCTATACATGAGATTTTCGTTTCATTCTTTTAAAAATTCAAATTTCTGTCAATGAAAAACATATCTATGTAACTTGAAAAATCCAATTTTATCCTTTGTCAATGTTTCTCCAGTTACTTTGATTTGTTAAGAGTTTGTCTTACTTGGGCATGGTGGTGCACACGTATCACCCAAGAGTCCCTGTACCCTGGGAGACTGAAGCAGGAGGAGCACAAATTCAAGCCCAGCCCGGGAAATTCAGCAACTTAATGAGATCCCGTATCAAAATCAAAACATAAACAAAAAGAGCTGGAATATAGCTGTAAGTGAAGACCTTAGGTTTTATCTCTACTGGGGAAAAAAAGGTTAAATTTTTTTCCATGATTTGTACACTTGGCCCTATTTCTGAGTTTCCTAATGTGTTCCATTGGTCAGTCAGTCCACTCAGTGCCAATGTACAATATTTGATTTTAGAAACCATATACTATGTAGCTATTGGAATCTTCTATTATCTTGAACAGAATTTCCCTTTATGATGCTGTCATGGTTTATGTTTGTGTCCCCCAGGCCTCATGAGTTTGCATTGTTCATATGTGATGGTTCATTGTTTAGTGCTTGGATTGATGGTGTCAGTGCTCCACCCACATAGGGGTGGAGCCAGGATGTGATGTAATGGCAGGAAGAAGGTATGTCTTTCTCTTTGCTGGTTGGAGTTTGCTGTTGGCGGCCGCCATGAACTGCAGCCCAGCCATGCCTGCCTGTCTTGGAGCCAACTGAGTGTGGACTGAAACCTCCAAAAACTGTAAGAAATAAGCCTTTCCTTTCCCAACTTTGGGCTTCAGGTATTTTGTCTCAGCGACGAGTAAAAAGTAACTAAGACAGATGTTTATGGATTATTTCTAAAAATATAGAATACCTTTGCATTTATTCCAATGTGATTTATGTTTTAATGTTTTCCTTTATCTTCTGCATATCTGTGTGTTTTTTTGTTGTTGTTGCTTTTGGGGTTTTTTTTTTGGTACCGGGGATTGAACTCATGACCTCGCACTTGCCAGGCAGGCGCTTAAGTCACTGAGCTAAATCCCCAGCCCCTTCTGCATATTTGTTAACCTTAGGTTATTTACTTATTTTCTTTCAGTGCTTGGGATCAAATCTAGAAACTTGTGTGTGCTAGACAAGCATATTATTATTGAGTCACAATTTATAAACTTTATACAAGTTGCGGTTGAAAACTATGATAAATATTGAAATTAAAATAAAATTTCTTACAGTAAAAGACACATTGCTATACTACTACTCCAAGTACTTCCCTTTGCTTTAAACATATTTGTTTTATCGTTTTTGCCCCTTTCTGAAGCCGTTCTGTAAATCCTTCTATGTGAATGTTTTCAGCTAAAGAGATGGCTGCCTCGATGTCCTGAGTCAATTCAGAATATTTACATTAATTCTATTTTGATTTGGTAAGAGCCAAAAGTAACATGATGTCAGATTCAGCGAAGAAAGTAAAGGAGGACACACCATGAGCTTGCTTTTCCATTGGATTACTTAGCATCGTTTATTGGATTTCTTTTCTGCTTTGTCTTTCCTGTTTTTATTAGTGTGTCCCTGTGTCACATAAGAAATACATCATCCTAGTTCTTTTTATGCATTCTTGCCCTCTTCTCCCATCTCTCCTCATTCTCAAAACTGCTTACCATGGTTAGCATTCCTTCCTTATAAAGACCCTTATGAAAAATGATTTCAGAACTGCTTCACAAAGGAGGCAAGAATGGCAGGACAAGTATGTTCAAAGCAAGGGGAAGTATTCCGAAGGAGATCAGTGGCATGTATCTTAAGACTAGTAAAGTAAATTTTAAATAGTTACCTTACATTCCGATCACACTTCATAATTTTTTTATTTTATGTTTATTTACTTAGAGCCTTTAAATTTTTAATTTTAACCTGCCATTTTTATTTTCACCATGATTTTAGTTTCAGATATACACTATCCAAAAACACTTACTAACAATTCCTTTACTAAAATCATCTCTCAATCAAATGAAGACTGCCTGCTATCACACTTTTTAAGGAGAATTTGTGATCACAATATTACTTGAAGTTTTAAAATAGTTAAGGTGGTTTTCTATAATTGTGAAAATTGAGGCACAGCATATAAAACTCTGGCTCCCATGAACTTCTCAAAAATATTATTCCACTTTTACCTATTATTTTACACTGATAGTGATAATTTCTAGTCTGAATTTTAAATTTGTGATTTGTGACTTTTATATCTGAAATAACTTGTATAATAATATTTAATTCATATTTCAGTGTTGTCTTACCACTTACCTTTGTTTTATGACCTTTTTCTTAGGGTAGGGAAATTATCATCATCCTATAAAACACTTCCATTTTCTTTTCCTTTCTTTAAAAATCTGAACAACAAAATAATGTTCATCATCTCCTCCAGAGTTGGATAAGAGATGTTTCAATATCGAAGCAAAAGTGGCACAATTTCCCATTATTACTGCATGGTAACACTTTTCCTCTCTTATGGCTTGATTTTTCTCTTTCTGGGACCCAGATGTCTCTTTGCTATCAAATAAACCCTCTGGCTGATTGGCTATTAGCTATTTTCAATTATTTTTCCAATGCTGTCTTCAGTATCAGAAATGATGAGAAATTGAACATTTTCCCTTGGAGAATAAAAGTTGGCCCTATCTTGCTAGCTGAGTTCTACATATCCAAAATCAATAACCTCAGTTTCTTCCCACATTTCCTAAGATTTAAAGAAAAATTAGAATGCTGTAAATAAACGTGGTACCAGATGTACTCCAGCAAATGATAGCTCTTGGAATAGCATCTGAAATGACAATGTATACTCACTTGGAATTCAGAAATGAAAATGTCCCAGCGCCTTGCTTCATTACTGAAGGGAATCAGCCTTGTACCACAGCAATTGCCTGTTCCCACCAGCTGACAATGAAATGAATGCTCTGTAGGAGCTGAGATGATTGTGGCATTAAACTTAGCAGTCTCTCCATGATCCTGCAAGACTGCCATTGAATTTAAATCACTTCTGAGAAGAGGCTGTGTAGAACTTGTTCATCATTTAAAATCTGGAGGGCAATGTGAGTGAACTTAAATGAGTTAGGAATGCCATTATCAGCGAAGAGACAGCTCAGGGATCTGTTTCAGATCTCAGGCTGAGAAAATAGGACATAAACAACCAAACAGCTTGAGGAGAGTCAACATCATCTGTGGAAACCTGGATTGTTTTATTATTGTCATCAGTCATAATCATGATGATAATAATAGTGACCTGGTGTTTGGTGAACAGAAAACAACACACTAGAAACATAACTGGCTATAGAAAGAAAAAATCCACACAGCTTCTCTGACTGCTAAGCATGGCATTGAAGCTGCATAGACTGTGACCAGAGAAGGAATACTGAAGGCATTGAGAAGAGGTGACTGAGATAAGAGAAGCTCAGACACATTCTTATGCCTTTAGATGGAGATATAAGTCTTGGTCTCTTATCTAATCTTTTCATTAGCAAGATGATGAGTGAAATGGTAGTGCCAGAAGTATTACAAATGAAAGGAGTCATGCGAAGAGATTGTTAATATCTCTGGGAAAACTTTCTGAATATGGCATCTCATTTAATATTCAAAATTATGAAATCAGTTAGAAACTCTGATTTCTGTTCTACACGTGATGCAATTAAGATTTTGAGAGTTAAAGAAATGTTTCAAATGCCTGGTGACCCATAAGGAGGGCAAGTGCTAGCAGTGAGGCAGAGCCACAGTGGTCCAGAATAGGCTCTTGTAAGTGTTGATGCCAAACCCAAACTCCATTTAATTATAAGAGAATTACGTTTAAAACTGCACAGTCTTGTCAGTTTGCCTTTTTAATTTTGTCTAATGTGTATCTGTCCCGTATAATTAGTTATGTTTTATGAAAGCATGTAAGCACAATGATGATTAAGAACTTATCTCTTAATAGATGTATAAATTAATAAAGGAATTAGATGCTTTAATTGCACTGTCTTTAATGATTTTTTGTATTCTTGATTCATTATACAGTAAAAAATATGATTAAACATCTCAGGATGTTGTGAATTTCTCTCTTTCCCTTGTAAATCTATTAATTAATGTTTGGTATATTTTGAGGTGATCTGACATATCTACATTTAAAATATGATGAGTTAATATTTGCAGAATAATATTTTATCTTGTATTTCATTAATAGTTTTTTTTAACCTTAAGCTTTCTTTGCATGATGTTTTTGTAAATATATCAATTTACACTTGGTTAAAAACATGTTTTTTCTTTCTTCCACTTTTACATTTTTAAAAATATGATATTGATATCAGATTTTGTTCAATGTGAATGCATTTTTCCACTTTGCTTGTCTACAGTTTGGATGCTGTTGTTTAGGTCTTGGAGGTTAACAAAAAGTGCATGTGTTAAAGGTCCAGTCCCCAGCATGGTGCTGTGGGGAACTGGGCTTGTGTGAGGTCTTCAGGTCATTACAGGTGCTCCTTCGCAGGGAACAGTGGGATTGCAGCCCGTCCTATTCCTCTGCTTTGCTCCTGGCTCACCATGAAGTGAATGGCATTGGGGCAAAAGATTGAGAAGTGACAGACTGTCTTGGAAACTGGGTGTGACAAATTCATTGTGAAAATTCCAAGACACATGCACAGAAAAGGTCCCAAAGCCTTGTATGTGGACATCTCCAAGAATTGGAGCAGTTTTGGTAGGACCACCTAGAATTGAGGTCAACTTGAGGAGTGGGAGGAAAACAAGACAAGATGGACAGTTGCCTCTGGACTCTGCACTGTTGGGTTGTTTCACAGTGCTCCACGGTAAGGCTGTAGAGTGTACTTCTCCTCCTACTTCTTTTAGTTCAGACTTGCTCTATAGAGCAAGTTTCTTTTTCTATCTTTAATAAATGTAACATCTTGCTACATTTTGTACTCAGTATGTCCAATTCTTTGTTCAAGAAAAAAAAAAGAACCTCAAACCACCTCAGGAAGTAGATTCCAGCATCCTAAACTTGATAATAATTGTATTATACTACATGCTCCTGAAATGATATGGCACTACAGGCCCATAGCAATGGGGCCAGTGTATCATGCACCAGAGCCTCTAAAAACTGTGTACCAAAATAAACTTTGTCCTTTTTGGGTATTTGTTTCATTTAGATTACCAACTAGCACCCTGGATCTGTTATTTTTTTATTAGTACATGTTTGCAGTACAAAATGTTTACATTCCTTGTGAGGAGTTCATACATGTGCATAACACATCTTAATTCTGTTTTAACTGTATCTCTTCTCAACAAGACATAGTTGAGTTTTTAAATTCAATACCATAAAAAAGTTAACTGGCATAGCCTGCCAAATTTTCAGGTGCAGCTTTCACTCCACTTATATGTATAATAATTATGTATATATTCAAATTTATCTCTGTTCAATACATTTTCATTTTAATTGGCATATAGTAATTGTATATATTTATAGGGCATAATGTAACATTTCAATATTTTATATTTAATTAATATGTTAATAATTGTAATGTGTAATGATCAGATCAGGATAATTGGTATATCCATCAGTGTAAACATTTATCCTTCATTTGTGTTGAATATTCAAAATTTTCCTTACTAGTAATTTTGAAATATACAGTTAGTTACTATCAACTTTTGCTATTCTACTATCCCAGGCTCTGGTAATCACTACTCAATCTCTATTTCTGTGATGTCATTGTTTAACTTCCATTATGTAAGTGAGAATATGTGGGATTTCTCTTTCTATGTGTGATTTATTTCACTTAACATAATGTCTCCCAGATACATGCCTGTTTCTTCTAATGACAAAACTACTTCATTTCTTAAAAATAGCTGAATACGGCAGAGGAGGAGCTGGGCAGATCTGGGGTGCCCTCACTGGCCTCTCTACGTGTCTGGAGGACTCTGGATATCTGCGCCCAGACTGCTGGAGTTCCCTCAGGCTTCCAGGTGCAGTGAAGGAGAGAGGTGGGTTTGAGGCTTCCACATCAGCCTCCCCATTCCAGGCTTCATTTGGAGACCTGCTGAGCTCCCCATAGGTGGGCTGGCCCACAATACCAGCCTAGCCCAGCCTGTTTAGCTGCCGCGCCTGGCCATAGGCCTGCAGAGGAGGAGCTGGGCAGATCTGGGGTGCCCTAACTGGCCTCTTTGCGTGTCTGGAGGACTCTGGATATCTGTGCCCAGACTGCTGGAGTTCCCTCAGGCTTCCAGGTGCAGTGAAGGAGAGAGGTGGGTTTGAGGCTTCCATATCAGCCTCCCCATTCCCGGCTTCATTTGGAGACCTGCTGAGCTCCCGATAGGTGGGCTGGCCCACACTACCAGCCTAGCCCAGCCTGTTTAGCTGCCGCGCCTGGCCATAGGTCTGCAGAGGAGGAGCTGGGCAGATCTGGGGTGCCCTCACTGGCCTCTCTGCGTGTCTGGAGGACTGTGGATATCTCTGCAACCAGGGAGGGTCCACAGGTTCCTGAAGCACTGCGGCCTGTGGTGAGTACCCTAACCCGGTTGCGATTGAAGAACTGTGGAGCTTCCAAGGGGCAGGTGGGCGCACAGTGTCCCTGAGGCCCAGCTTGTCTGGAACTGCGGAGTTCTGAGCAGGCAGAGGAGGGCCACTGGTTCTGGAGGCCTAATGGCTTGGGGTAGCGCGGCACCAGAGTCTCAGTAGCTCCAAACATAGAAGGGGATTTTCAACAGATCCTGAGGAAGCTTTCAAATAACACTTGAAACACAGAAATATAGGAAAATGACAAAACGAAAGACCAAATTACAACCTCAAACCTCCAGCCCATCTCAAGAAACCCTAGGAGCGATGTATATAGAAGAAAATATGTCCCATCCACCTCATATATCGGACACAATAGCCACTGAAATTGACAAGCAACTCCAGGAAGCTTTAAAGAAATTCAAACTCGAAATAATCTCCCAGATAAAAGAAGAAATGATAAAAGAAATGAAAGAGATTCTAAATATATCTAAAGAAAACACAGATAAAAAATTGGAGGAACTAAACAAAAAGATAGAATCCCTAGACGAGCAATATAAGAAACAAACAGAATACATAATGCAGATGCACAGAGATATACAGGAAATAAAAAACTCCACTGAAAGTTGTAAAAACCGCCTTAATGAAAGTGAAGATAGAATTTCAGACCTTGAAGACAGGATTGCAGCTAGTGAACAGGAAAGGAAAGATCTTTTGAAAATAACAAGGAACCAGGAAACAACAATTCAACAACTGCAAGACGATGCAAAGAAGAATAACATAAGAATGATAGGGATTAATGAAAGAGAGGGAGACAACATGAAGGATGTCAGGAGGATATTTAGAGAAGTAATAGCTGAAAATTTCCCAAGCATGAGATCAGAAACTGACATCAGGATCAGTGAAGCATATAGAACTCCAAACAGTCATAACCAAAATAAAACTACACCCAGACATATAATAATCACCATCCCAGAAATCCAACACAAGAATAGATTATTAAAAGCTGTCAGAGAGAAAAGACAAATCACTTATAAAGGAAAACCTATCAGAATCACAGCAGACTTCTCAGCACAAACGATAAAGTCAAGAAGAGCATGGAGTGAAGTATTCCAGATCCTAAAGCAAAATGATTTCCATCCAAGACTGATATATCCTGCAAAACTATCACTCAAAATAGATGGTGCAATACGATACTTCCATGACAAAGAACAGCTGAAGAACTTCATGAACACCAAACCAACCCTGCAAAAAATATTGAAAGACAGTTTAGATACACAAAGGAAAAAAGCACTAAGGAAAGCAAATAATTAAACAGAACAGAAAGATAAAGATGCAACAGCAGAGAGATAACATTCCTACAATTAACCAGCATTTAACAGTAATAACCATTAATGTAAATGGTCTCAATGCACCAGTCA